TATATCAATCATTAAAACTAAACAACATATATAAGTCTATGCTTTTAGCGCCATGTGCAGCTAATAGATGACAGCGACATCCACGTTTTTTCTTTGGTGTTTACGAAATTTTGCCTAGGAATATTACCATAGAGAGTTTCAGAAACTTACGCTAGCTCTCTTTGAAACCTTTCAAAGCTGAAATTTTTTTATGAATCTTTAAAGTAGAGGTCTCAGGTGATATCCCTGTACACTTTTCTCAAAAATAATTTTTTTGTTGACGAAAATCGACTTTCTGGAGTGCAGTGCCTTGATTCTTGTTCGGGTCGAATATGGGTACTAAATATTGTATCCGTGCAGTACTCTATCTCGCCATACGTAAAATCAGCCGATCAATTATTTATCGGATCTGATGCTCAATCGATAGAATTTTTGTATTCCTAAAATTCGCCAATAAAGTATATTTCTGAATTCTATAAGTTTTATCTTTCGGATTCAGAATGGAGATCTGTGAGCTTCTGTAAGGTCTACATGGCGGCAAGTTTGCGCCATACTTCTTAGTCGCAGAAAGAATAATCAGACTTCTATCCATTTGAGTACTAAATTACTAAGACGAAAACTGCAAACCTTGACTAGATTTTCATCAAAATTTTCTCAGTGGACCAGAATTCAGTAAGAACCGAGTTTTCCAAAAACTGTTCTATCTAAGAATTTTGATATCGGAAGTTCGAATCTGAGTTCCATTAACTTTAAAGCTCAATAAGTAGCTAAGGCAGTAGCAAATATTATGATGGGATAAAATGGTTCTACCAAAGATGACTAGCAAAGGAATCTTTCACATAGCTGTCTCTATGGCTTCGACAACGATTCATAGTCTCAAAAGAATATGTCTCGACATTTTGCTATTTTTTTTTCGCACTCTGTTTTATCGAAGACAGTCACCAATGAAATCTGTTGATCACTCAAATTCGCTGAACCCTACGACTTTGCATTCATTACTCGACCAATGAAATATGCTCACTATCCTAGTCTCAGTCAATGATGTTTCTGAACGCTGGAAGTTGAATCCATTCGTGTATCGCTTTGCGCGATTGTGGATATGATTTTCAGTTTATTTTCGAGTGTGGATACAAGCAATCATCTGTCTTCGAGTAGATGGAATGAATGTGTGGGTGGGTGGGTGTGCGTGTGCATTTAGGTGTGGGTATCGGCTGTGAGCTGTGGGCGTGGCTCTGAGGATTGGTTTAGGTTTACATGAAGTAAACATCCACACGCACGCGGTCTGAAGAACGATAACAGCTGAGCAGCCAAAATCTAGACAAGACCTAGGACAGTTTCAGCTCATACAGCTCAGACAAAAGAAGCTGATGCACTGTTTTCATAGTACAGTTCAAATCAAAAGAACTTTAAAACGTTTCGAAGAGTTGAGTGGAACTATTCGAGCTTTTTAGCTCAGATCAAGATCGGTTTCAATAATAACTTTCAGGAACTGATGGTCTTCAAAATCTTGTTTGCTTTTAGGACCCAAAAGTGTCCTACCATGAAACATAAAACAAATGCCTTTAAAATTCAGAACTATTTTGGAAAAAATCAGAGTCGAAAGTTTTTGGGTACCTTGGCTCCAGCATCTGAACTGTGAAATGTTTCAATAGTTCCCGAGAGCAGAGCTGAATTGTTCGAATATATCAGCTCAGATTAGAGAGTGTTTTGAATATTTCATCAGATTCAAATTTTTAACTAAACTGTCCAAGCCATAATCCAAACAGTAAAAATGTTTGATTCGTTGAATTCCTAATCTTGGAAAACCTGATTAGCCGAATTTCCAGTCTCCAAAATTTCGATTGGCTAGAATCTTAACAATAAAAACATTTGATTGCTTGAATATTCAGTTTTCAAAAACATGATTGACTGAGTTTCCAGTCTCAAAAAACCTGATTGACTAGAATCCAAATAATAGAAACATTTGATTGATTGAATTATCAGCCTCGAAAAACCAGATTGACCAGAATTCAGATAGTAAAAATTGTAAATGTTATGCGTTTACGCTCGCATTTCTTGGAACGAGAACGCAACTCGCGTTCCCATTCCTAGAAACGGAACGCAAAAGTTACACTTCTAGTCAGTGGAATCAATAGGAGTCATTTAGAGTCAGTGGAATCAATTGGAGTCATTCGGAGTCAGTAGAGTCAATCGGAGTGAATGCAGGTCACTCAGAATCAATGGTAGTCACTTAGAGTCAGTTGGAGTCACTGGAGAATCTGAGTGACTCCAACTGACTCCAATTCACTCCAATTGATTTCATTGACTCCAGCTGACTCCCATTGACTCCAGCTGACTCCCATTGACTCCAGCTAACTCCCATTGACTCCGATGCTGCAGAGTCAGCTTTTTCTCCCTTGCTTTAGTCCCTTTAATCCCTTTAATCCCTTTTAGTTCCTTTAATCTCTTTAGCCCCTTTAATCCTTTTAGTCCCTTTAATCCCTTTAGTTTCTTTAGTCCATTTAATCCCTTTAATCCCTTTAGTTCCTTTAGTCCCTTTAATCCATCGAATCCATTTAATATCTTCAATCCAGTTAGCCAGTCCAATTTTTTCTAGAGGGTTTATTTTTTTCGCTTTGCCTGTATGTTCAGTAGCTTGAGAGAAATTATGATACCAATATTTTAGTATATTTACTACATGAAATAAACTTGTGCCTGTGTGAAGACTTCCTTTATTTTTATCGGCTGTCGCAAGAACAAGTAACATCTGATCGTCTTCTTCATTCTGTTTCATTGATTTAGTTGTGGTTATGCTCTAAGTTAATTTGTTCGAGGTTTATTATTCTGCTTTTTAAAAAGTTGATATGTGGATCTTGAGAAATACTGATATACATTAAGAACTGTTCTTGCTCTTTCCACAATTACGGTTTTTGAAACGCTCATAAATCCACACATACGTCTGACTGTGTAATCTTGTGAATGTTCATATATTTCTAAATCATAGGTGCACTCGTCTTCAAAAGTCTTAAGATACTATTCTGTTCCTGATAGTGTAATATAAGAAAGATTTTTAGAAAGATCTGACGTTTCATAGAAAACAACAATTATTCTAATAACTTGTTTTAAAAATCTAGTCAAACATCTTGCACTGCTTTATTCAATTTGAATTATGTCAAAAGAAACTCAAAACTGGAATTTCGTCAATGAGAGGAACATTCAAAAGTATCTTCATTTAGTTAATGAATATGAATTTGATCGTTTACAACTATCACATGAAATGAATGATTCCATTCAGGATTTATCATGTCATCATCAATGCGATTCGAAAATTTTGTTTTTTCCTATTTTATCTGCTATAGGACATTATTGTGAAGGTACGAATGCATATAACCTTGAAACAAAACAATTGAAGCCAATAACTGCATACGAGGTTCCTATAACACCATCTGGTAGTTATCAGAGCGTTCAAAAATGTTATATAATTTTTTTGTTTTCTTTCCTATTTTTTAGGCGTAGAAAAATCAAAATACATTAATATTATTTCGAATGCCTGTGGTGCCTTCGTAGTGTACTTGTTTGAAAGTTGCTATAAGCAAGAAAGGATCTTTGGAGAGTTATCCAAGAACAGATCACATGAATCTATTGAAAATAAAAAGAAAAATAAACAGGATTTACAACATTGGATTAATGATAACGGATCAGTAAAGCAAATTTACACCACGCCTTCTCTTCTACAAATGTTGGTTAAAAATAATCTGTACTTTCTTACGAATGATGGCGATGCAATTTTGCAAGAAAGCAACTTTTTCAATCCTTCTGATATAACTGCTGATGTAAAACAAGGTACCCTCATTGACCGTAATATTAATCATTTTTCTTCCGCATTGGAGAACTTAGATATTTTTGTACTGTATATTTGTCTTCTAATAGGCTGGGACGGAAACACCATCATCAAGAGTACAATAACGCATGGCAGTAGCCAAATAAAGTATCGTACTGTATCTTTATGTATTGCAAGTACAGACCGTCGATGGCCAGATTTATTGAGAGAGTTGGCGTAAATATTTATTTATATTTACTCATGCTTACTCTGAATTTTAATTATATCTTTTTTGTATATTAAGATAGAAAAATTCAAATAGCTGGCGGTTTACACGAAAAATGCACATATTTCTGTTTTGACATTCAAGCTTCTTCTGATACTGATACCATGCCATCATCTGCAGAAAAAGACTTCTTCTTAAATTTGTATGATGATTTATTATGCACGTCGACACAATACAATCAAATTAAATTTTCTCTATTACAAGTCCTCTGTATTGTTAAATTATTTGCTTATCGTGTGTTGATCTGGTCGCGTGAAGCATTTTCATTTATTCAGTCACAGCTCAATGAACTCAAAGCAAATAAGTCGTGTAGATTAATCGACGATTCAAAGATTTTTAAAACGAAACAGCAAATGGCGTTGCGTCGTGGTAGTGCTGAACATATCGTTCAGTATGGTTGTCTTATTCAGATCTTTATGAATGCATTGGAAGTGTTGAAAAAAATGAATGAAGACATAACAAAAAGTGGAATTATCGGTGAGTCGTTCGAAATTCAAGCTAAGGAACAGATACGTTAAAAGTCTGAATCATACGATATGACACAAATATTTTTTTTACTTTTTCTAATCAATTTAAATTAAGATAAAGAATATTTTTGGTGAAGCATTCGACCGCAAAGTAGCTTTTCACAAAAATGGTGTACCTATACAACCATTAGAAGTTAGTCCAAAAGCAGCAACATGTGCTGCTTCATTAGTAGTGTCATTATTGTTACCTCAAGCCGTGTTATTGTTTGATTAGAAAAATGATGATCAAGACAAATTGAATGAAGAAGTACAAGCGAAAGAGATTAAACACGAAAATAAACACCAAAGGTTATTTATGAAAATCGAGAAATATGTCATAAATTTAGAATATAAATGCTTTTTCAAATCTTGTATAACTGAACACCATTTTCATGATAAACGTTTGTTAGTGGACAATGTATTGAGTGATATGGTGAAACGTAAATTGCTACATGTTGGCCACCAGAATAAACCATTTTTCGAAACTGGACGATTATCAACAGTTAACACGTACCTGAAATACATACCGACACCTGATGATCAACAACGATTTCAAGATGATTTATTTAGTTTATATGGTGTACATTATGAAGACTATGTGAAACAATTTCAACGTGCACCATTGTTGCCATCAGCTTGCCATCTCACGAATTATGATCTTCAATTTCTTCGACAACCACAATACTCAAATATTATTGATGATGAAAGTAGGATATTCGATTGATTTTTTATACAGGTGATTGCCATATTGTTACTTATTAATTATTTGTAGTTAATCATCAGTTTAATGAATCGTCGGATGAGATTAGTATTGTACAACAATATGTAAAGCGAAATAAAAAAGGTAATATAGTTTTCTACGATAACTTGTTGTATATGCATAAAATAAAATTTATTTTATGTTTCTTATAACAAATAATGTTTTAGAAGTAGCAGGTGGTAATCTTGAGACTGAAAATGATCAATTAAAATTTAATAAGAATTATCTTATTCAACGATCGACAACAATTGATACCAATGTTCCTCAATGTGGGACAACGAAAGAGGATCATGCATCAGGAATAATCGAAGCTATGTTTCCTGATGACAATATTTTAGATACTCAAAGCCTATTGCTATCAAGAAATCTTGGTATGTTAGAAAGATCATTTTATAAATTTATCTTTTTTTAACGAGAAGTCATATTTGATCTCTGTGTCTTTTTGCTCCAGAAAAGATGAAAAATGAAAAAGAGAATATTTATTGCCTTTGTAGCTGGTTCATGCGTAGAAGAATTTTCTCTGAAATTCATTCTAATAATGTTGTAGTCAAGTTTGATGTGGAACTATTTTTTCTATAGATTTTCATGACGATAAAAATAATTCACCATCAACGGCTCATAAATATAAATCAGCAAGTAATGATGTGGATATTCTTGGTGTTGGTATTAATTGTAACAATATAAATGCTTTATCATCAGTAAATAAAGATTTTGATTATGATTTGACTGAGAACTCTCAGTCAGGTGAAACGATAGAAAGTGAAAGTAAAAGAATACTTGATATTTTATTCAGGAAAAAAATACATAGGTTTTGCTTTGCTTATGTATAGAACTGAAAAATATTGAAATAACTGAACAAATAGAAGAATCGTCCCAGGAAAAGATAAATGAATCAGGTGAAAAATTTTATTTCTGCTTTTTAATTTGATAGTTTTACGTTTCTATATTTTAGAAAAAGTAACAATAATCCTGCAGACAGCAAATTATAGAAGTATCGCCGGAAAAATTTTATTAATACCATCCGTTATTTTAACGAAGGGACTTATTTCGTTATTTATTAAAGTAACAGCTAATAACATAAATGAAGCATTAAATTATTTATTGAATAAAAAGTTATTGATAGTTGATAAATATATACAAAGTGAAAGGCGGCAATTCGAAGGGTATTTAAAATTCGTTCCAGATATTATTGATGATAAAACAAATAAATATTTATTACAACGAAATCTGATTGATGTTAATGTCAATGTTAATTCATACCTGAATTCATTACGAACACTACAATATGCATTTGGAACACAATGTTCAACAAATCTATTGGTAGAAAAATTACAAAATGCTCCATATGATCAATTAAATATTAACTTGGTACCGAAATGTAGGAATATAAAATTATAAAGCATTAATTGTATGATATGATCTGGTGCTTCACTAATTTTTTTTATAGATACATTTCAAAACATACAAGTTGATGAAAATGCATCATTATCGAATCAAAAAAGTACTATCGGTGATGAAATGCGAAAAAAAATGATAACAAATAGCCAAAGTTCATCACAACAACCATCATCTAACTAATTGCAAACACTCGATTGTTTTTTTCTCAGATTATTCCATTTCTTTTGTTATAGTTCTAGTTTTTTGCTTCACAAAGGTTTTTCTTGTCGTTTTTTCTTATGATTAAAAAATTTTTGTTCTATCTTTCACATATGATTGGATTACTATTATAGCGAACAAACAGATGTTATGCAATTAATTTCATTTGCCAAAAGCTATTAATAGAAGGTATGTGAGTCAACACTATCCTCTCTTTTAGTTTTAGATTGAAGGAAAAATGGATTTTACTTACTTGAAACTTGTTCTACATGATTTCACTTTGGATCAACTATTCATAATAAATTGGTTTAATAGCAACACTGCTAATAATTTGCAAGATCGTGTTTCTATTTTGTCAGATTTATTAAATGAATATGATCCTAAAGCAATTGAAAAATGGTCAGTAATAAAAATAGAGCAAGCATTGATGGTTATTGCTGAATTAGGATTTCTAAATAAAGAAAAAGGAAATGATTTACAAAGTAAATTAAATAATTATTTTATATCTAAAGAACGACCAAATATCAAATTTGAACCTTACATCAAGCATTGTTCTAATAAAAATTTAAAGACAATCAAGATTCGAAACATAATGGTATTCAAAATGAATGGTTCATATAGAAGTTCAATGACGAAAGCTTATTGTGGAATATGTGAGAGAACCTATTCACACAATTATTTCATTGAAAAAGGAAGAAAGTGCGTTACTCACAATTCTATTATCAACGATAATTTGATATATTTCGGAGATGATTAGGCCTACGAAAAAGATCTGATTCAATGGTTGTCAAACTCCATTTTGTATTTATACAGTAGTTTTGAAAACTTCACTAATTGTTATAATGCTACAAACAACTCGTATTGTTCGAATACTGGTAATCATAACGTAAAGATGTGTTCGGCTCGAACACAAGATTTTTGATTTTTATACCAATTTATAATCATTTCATTCTTCTACACAATAGAAGAAAAACTGGAAATTCCAAGACGATGGCAAGAGCACTTCTTAAATATTTTTCTTTTTTCAATGAAATATTATATAACTTAGTGATCGTCAAGAGTTAGTTGTATTAATGAATGGTGCATACGACAAATTAAACACGAGTTTCGTTAAACTTTTGTCATCTCATAAACAATATAGTAGATGTAGTTCAATGTGTTCCCGAGTATTTGTTACAGATGGTTTTCAAAAAGCGAGCAGATATATATGTAGTAATAGCAATATGACTGTTTACAGTGAAGAGCTAGGTATGTAAAAATATATTGATTCGGTCAGCAATATTACTAAAATGTAACACAAAATTTTTTCTTCTGAAGGATATGTAAGAGTAGGTTGTGGTAACCGATCAGAATACGTAGACAAAAACAAATTTAATGAAAATCAACATGAATCAATAACAACAGAGTTAAGATCAATCAGCAACAAAAATATTAAAGAAGCAACTGATCTCTGCAGAACATGTAAGTTGAACCCGATGGCAAAAGCCGTTGAAGAAGAAATCATTATTAATAATGATTGCGATATTAATCGAAATCCACGTTTTATCAATGGAAAAACACGGTCATACGGAATCATTTACACCATGTTCAATTGTGACATATTCGTTGATTTTTTAGAAATTAATTTGTCGAAGCAAGTTTTTATCACCTTGTTGCATTGGATTAATATACTTAAAAAAATTGACAATTTATCTGGAACACCAAACGTATTCGTTTATGATAATGCATGTAGTGTGTGAATCTACTTTGAAAAACGATTGAATGATACCCATACAATAAAAACAACTAAATTTGCTTTATTTTTCGATTCCAGTGATATGTACATTGATCGTCTTCATCAACGAACTCATACACGTCCCATGTGTCATAAAGAACGTAACATTGATTTGCGCACAGATTAACAGAACGTCAATACGGTAATTTATGAGCAAACCAATTCGTGGCTCAAGCAATTTGTGAATATCTTATGCAACTTCTCTGGAGAGAGATCGAAATTTTACTATCTTTTTGTATTTCATTTATTAAACTGCAAACGTTGTTCATGTGATCCAGAAAAAAATTCATTTTTAAACTTTTATTGAAACCATTTTATTACTGTTATAGATATTATATTTCTGTTGGGTGTTATTTCCCAATGTTGTCTAAGTAGTATCCTTTATCATCGCAGGCTCCAGGTTACCTAAAATGACCTGCTAATTCAACAATATATCGTAATACAACTGGAAGCAGTAATTATCAAGTGGGTAAAGGCTCTTATATAAATGTAGCTACATATATGAAGGAAACAACCACTAGTAGCGTGACTCGAATGAAAAGGTACTAAAGAGATTAAAGGCAATAAAGGAATTAAAGGAATTAAAGGGACTAAAGGGACTAAAGGAACTAAAGGGACTAAAGAGACTAAAGGAAATAAAGGAACTAAAGGGATTAAAGGGATTAAAGGGGGTTAAAGAGACTATAGGGATTAAATGGATTAAAGGGACTAAAGGAACTAAAGGGGTTCAAGGAACTAAAGGGATTAAAGAAATTAAAGAGATTAAAGGGATTAAAGGGATTAAAGGGACTAAAGGGATTAAAGGAACTAAAGGAGTTAAAGGGACTAAAAGGATTAGAGAATTATCATAGTTTTGTAAAAAAGTTAGACCAGGATAACTTTAATTTCTTGTGGACCTATGTGGTTATTTTCATTATTTATGTGCATTTCGATAGTTTATTTCAATTCATTTCAATAATCAAATGTTTCAATACAGAAAAGAACATCAATCTTTCGAAATACTATGTTTAAAACACAGCCAATAGCAGAATGAGATTTTGTAATTGTTCATCAGTTTTTCTTTTTTTTTCTATTCGAAATGCTTTTGAGCATGGACATGATGTTAAAGATATTTGAGTTAATGTGTTTTTAATTTCTTTTGTTTGATCAATATATTTGGCTGTTTTTCATTTTTACTGGTTAATAAACCTGCTTTTTAATGGTTTACTTCCTGACACTAATCAAGCAGAGCGGATGTTGAGTTGACTATGGGAAGAAGTCATGTGTATGCTCAATATGACAATCGTATAGTTAAATTCGAGTGAAGTGATTCCACTGTAGTTATACAAAATGGATCAAAAATTATTGAATCGTGTTGATTGATATAAAAATTAAAGTTTTTTACGTTTTTCTGCAATCAGGAGCCCAGGTCGAACATGCACGCTCATAGACGGTCGTTTACGGAGAAAAACGGAGATATACGGAAGTCGTGCTCGGCTTCCGTATACGATTCGCGTATACGGAGTGATACGATAAGAAACGGATTCCGTAAACGAAGATTGTACAAAAATACGGAATGATTAAAAGATAAACATCTGTACTCCGTATATGGAGTTATACGACTGTCGTATACGGTCGTATATCACCGTGCGCGATCGTATCTAGTCGTATACGGCTACTATAAGCATACAATTCAATGAACAACACGTTTTGTGCAACTCACATATATTTTTCGAAGAAAAATATTGAGTATAAGTTTAAATGCGAGATTTTCAGGCAGGCTCGTCTTCCCTTGATTCCCTCATTACAGGTCTTAGCAGCCGTGGTCGAAGGTTAAAGAGTGCTGGGCACAAATTCTGCCATAGTAACCGACATATAACAAGCATCAGACTTCTTTTCCATGATTCCTTAGCAACGAAAAAGGGCGCTGAGCGGTGTTAACAAACACGGCTCAGATTGTTCTAGAACATTTCAAAGCTTTCCTTTAAATTTAAATGGCTGAACTATGTTTTTAAGGTGCGAAGCACTTTATAGTACTGCGTCGCGAGTTTTTAATGCGGTGCGAAGCACCGCATTTATGTAGTCGTTCGCGAGTTTTTTTAATGCCCTGCGAAGCAGGAGCATTTATGTAGTCCTTTGCGAGTTTTTTTTTTTTTTTATTTTACTTTCTCGACGTACGCAAAAAAATCGTCATTTTCTGTTCGAATGATCTCGAGAAGGGAAAGTCAGAAAATACTCGTTGGAACGCGAAGTGCAAGTATCAAGATCGAACTCGTACCTGTTTTTGTCAGATGATCGATAGAACCTATAGTTCGTCTATAATCCAAGCTCCAAAATCACGATTTTGACAAAGTTCACTTTTGAGATAATTAAAATGAAAATTCAAAAGAAAAGTTAGGCGCTAATTTCATTAGATATATATCAAACAGCTGCGAATTACAGCTGATAGTAGATAATGAATCACTGAGATAATTAATTGATCAATAGGAAACAACTCATAGAAATCTATCGATACGTTTTCGTAGAGTTTCTGTAGTGATGAATTTTATAATGGACGGCTTTCATTCCATGTTCAGATGAGATCATCTGTTTGATGAAGATGAAGAAATGTGTCTATCTAACAGAGTCAGTAGCTAATTTAAGTCAAAATAGCGATCAATATAGTTTAGAAAATCGAAGTCTCGTTTTTTGACAAATATCGTTTTTTCGAAAATTCGAAAGATTCGTGCTTCGCAGGGCATTTCGTATTCGAAGCGAAGCTCGAATACCATCTAGTTTTTTTCTTCTTTACTTGACGCTTGACGTACGCATCAAAAGTGGCCGTTTTGTGTCGCGATGATCTCGAGAACGGAAAAACAGAAAAAAAAAGTTTAAACGCGAGATGAAAGTGTCAAGATCAAATCGTTGAAATTCGTTTTTCAGTTTTCACTAGAATGAATCGTTGAATTACAAATAATTTAGGAAAAAGACGAATTTGAAAGATTTTATATTCGAGATAACTAAAATGCAAAAGAAAAAGAAGAGTTAGGCGCCACTCTGTTTCTTCATATGCGAGACAGCTGTGAATACAGCTGATTATACATAATGAATCACTTAGATAATGAAACTATCAATCAGCAGCCTTCTTTAGAAACATGTTGATACGCTTTTATAGGGTTATCGTAGTGATGAAATTCATTATGGCTGCTTTTCAACTTGTTTTCGATTCAAATCATCTGATTGAGGGAAA